GTTGTGGCTGCTGCTTTAATGGAGGTTTTTAAGAAAAGACTGGATAGCCATTTGTCCAGAATGGTATAGAGTCTCCTGCTCTGGCAGGAGTTTGGACTAGAAGACTTTCAAGTTCCCTTGCAAGTTTGTTATTCTTTAATAATTATTTATTATTAAAGTAAATCACAGATAGAAGGACAATTGAGGAAATATATTTGGAAAATAATTGAGGATTGCAGAGATTTCATTATTTAGTTAGCTATTGGTAAAACCTAATATAATGCAGAATAGATACTCATTTACATATATATGTTGTGGCAAATATCTGGGTGTAGGATGAGGGTGAAGTTTCGTTCTGTGAGCTTGTTGGTTGGTTTCCAAACATTTCGTTACCAGTCTAGGTAACATCTTCAGCAGAGTTAGGGAATGTTACCTAGTCTTGTAACAAAATGTTTAGAAACCAACCCACAATCCTACAGAACAAACCTTCACTCTCACATATATGTAGTTGCTTCCATATTTAACCATGATTATACAGTCTACAATTTCTTTTTCAGGTTTCAGATCACCAGAGTTACCTCATTATTTCTTTGATATTCTCTGCCATCGTAGTCTTTATGCTTTTTCTGCAACGTTACAAATATAAACCAGAGTTGAATAATGATTACTTCTCAAAGATTTTCAAAAGTAATCACTATCCTAGTCCTAAAAGGTAATTTATATCTCATGTTTGTATGTGTAGTTACTTATTATCTTAGCCTAGATCAGTCAGGAAAACTAAGAACAACTACATACTAAGACATACTTATGGCTAAACCTATAAAATGCTTTTCATTATATACTGTAAATGTGTAGAATGGAAGATGTGTTGATGTGTGAAATTTATGAGTGAATGGTGTGTGAAATTATCAAATTTGTGAATGAACATTATGTGAAAAGTGAAATTATGAAATGGCTTTTGAAAGAATCTTGCCATTCAGGATAAATTGTAGATAGGTCATGAAAAATAGCTTAAGAGCAGTTGCCCATCCTTCTAGCAAGAAATAAAATAAATAAGTTATTTCAGTATTTATCTCCATTTAGCATACTTGAAACAGCAAACACAAAAAGAAAGCCACATCCAATTGCAGAATGTTATTACCCCCTCTCCTATGTGCCGTAACTACCAAAATAGCTACTAGAAAATTGCCTCCCCCTTGTAAAGGCATTTAGAAGCCACTCAGCAAGAACTAATATATATGCAGTTGAAGCATTTGCTCATTTTAGTTCTAATTTCTCATTCTTCTCTAGGTTCACACTGCACATCATGCTTTACTTCATGCGTTCTGTAAAATAAATAGACTGTAGAGTACACAATGGTATAAAGTTTCTTATCTTTTGTACATGTAGTCCTCGAGTTACAAATGTAATGGAACCTGCCAATTACATTCATAACGTGAGGATTCTCAGGAGTGAATCACATAATTTGACCGTGATCACTCCCTGCTTTCGCCCATGCATTCGCTAATCAAATGCGTGGGTCGTTAAATGCACATGAGGTATCTCAGGGTGGGGAAGGCCATGGGAGGGTCTAGTGATGGAACAGAACAGCTGCTTAAGACCACCCAAAGCCTTCTCCAACCTACTGAGATACCTCATGTTTCCCACAATTGCTTCCTTCCCCCCTCTTGCCATGCCAGGTCTGGAGACTCAATTACCTTGTGAAGATCTAGCAAGCTGTCTCCTCTCTAGCCTTTCTGCCACGGTTTCTTTGCCTGCTCCCAGCGCTCCAAAAGCGGAGCGGTGAGAGTAGAGGGAGAGCAGATCGACCACGGCCTGCTTG